AAGCTTCAAGGCAGGGTTGGGCATGGCGGCCTGAGCTAGAGCAGCCATAGCTGCTTTGGGTTGTCCTTTGGGCATCGGGGCAAGGCCTAGTAGTCCGCCATAGCCTCGGCCTATGAGAGTGAAGAATAGGGGAGGCGGCCATGGCTATGGTGGACCTTAAGTGATACCTGCAGTAGAAGAGGGACTAGGACATTGATTCTGGATCAGCTATTCAACATTGTAATATTATTTCTTGTATGAATAAGAGGAGGGGGAGATAAGGAGGAGGAGATTGTTGGGCGAAGAAGAAGAGCCTTGTCATTTGTCTATGCTGATGTACATCATCTTCTTCTTCTTTCTTACTTCTTCTTCTTCTTCTAATCCTCTCTCTTCTCTCAAGTTCATTCATTTCTTTCTGCAATTGGGCGGCATTGTACTATCTGATGGATGTGTATCTCGAAATTGGCCAGGCTCATAACAATTCAGTCCTTTTTATCACATTTGCGGATCTTCGGTTTATTATGTACAGCGCCCAACTGGGCATGTAACAGTTGGTACCGGAACACCGCACGTGCATCAGGACAACCTGATCTGACACGTGTGCGGGGACTRAGTAGATGATTAGTCTTGATTGATTGATTAGAGCACACTAGTTAGCCCCCAAAATCACGATTTTGACCTCACTGCCTAGCTTTCCAGCCCGGGCGCCGGGGCCCCCCCAGGTCGCCCGGAAGGGCGCTCGGGGCGCCCGGCCGTGCGACCCCGCCGGTCAGGCACCCGGGCCCCCTCAGCGCCAACCCCCAAAAATGTCAAAAAAAAAAAATTCGCGCCGCGAGACTACGGCCCAGAAGGAAAGAAAAAAGAAGGCGGCGGCCGCAAAATTTTTTGGGGTCCGGTAGGCCCTGTTTCATTGCTTTTTTTTTTTTTGCCTCTGGGCCATCGATCTTCGTCGATCGACGGCGGCGCCGAAGTCCCGAGATTTCGAGTTTGAATCCCAGGACTTCGCGCGCGTCCCTGCACCCTCCGGCGCCTCCGCCCTCCGTCGTCTGGACTTCGACTGCGCCAGTTGCCATGGGGGAGACGTCTGCGCCGTCGTCGACCTGCCAAGCCATCCTTGGCGTCGTCGCCCTCCAGCTGCGCCATCGTCGTCGCCCTCCAGCCGTGCCATGGACCGTCTGTGCCGTCGTTGCCCTGCCACTCTCCAGCTTCTTCTTCTTCTTCTTCTTCTTCTTCTTCTTCTTCTTCTTCTTTTTCTTCTTCTTCTTCTTCATCTTCGTCGTCGTCCTCTTCTCATTATTCTTCCTCTTCTTCTGTCCTCCATTTCCTCATGTTCTTTTCCTCCTTCGTTTCTTTGTCTTCTTCTTCTTTTTCTTCTTTGTCGTTTCTTCTTCTTCATCGTTTCTTTTTTTTCTTCCTCTCATTCTTCTTCTTCTTTATCTTCTTTGTCGTTTCTTCTTCTTCACATTATTATTCTTCATTGTGTCTTCTTTCTCTTCCACTCGTTCTTCTGCTTCTTTTTCTTGATCATCATCATCTTCTTGTTCTTCGTCTTCCTCCTCTTCGGTTCTTCTTTCTCTTATTCTCTTCTTGTCTTTCTTCTTGTCGTCTCTTCTCCTCTTCTTCCTTCCTGTTTGCTTCATGAACTGCATCAATGAATCAGCATTTTTTTTTCTTTTCAACGGTTTGGCTCTGTTCGCCATAGCCGTCATCCTCCCTCCATAGCCTCCCTCCCCCCTCCTCCTCCCTCCAAAGGCTCCCTCCCTCCTCCTTCTGCCCTTCTTCTTCCTTTCTTCTTCCTTTCTTCTTCATCATCTTCTTCTTCCTCATCTTCTTAATCTCAACAGTTCTTTTTCTTCTTTTTGTCTCTTCGTCTACCTTTTCTTCCTCTTCTTCTTCTTGCTCCTCCATTATTCTTTCCTCCCTCCACATAATCTCCCTCTCTCCTTCCGCTGTCATCTCCTCCCTCCACATCTTCCCTTCTTCTTCCACCCCCCGCAACACACAGAAACCAACATGGCCAAAAAAAGGAAATGAGGCTAGATTTGGGCTGTACTCGGAAAGCGCAGGAAGGCCCTGCAGACGAAAAAAAAAATTAAAAAATTCAGCGGATTTTTTTTCATGACCGGGGTAACCCGGGCGAGGGACCTACCCGGGCGAGGCGCCTGGGGCGCCCGGCCGGGCGCCCCAGGAAAGCTAGCTCACTGCTGAAAATCGATTTTTTTTTCTTTTCTTGGATTTTGTTTTCCCGCTATTTCTGTTGTGGAAAATCGCAATAGCGCAATACCTGAAATTTTCGTTTTCGTTTTTCTTCTGAAAATTTGAAATTTCGTTGTTGGAAATCAGGAATATCTTTTTCTTGAAATTTTCGATTTCCTTATGCAATTTCCCGTTATTTAGAAATCCGGAATATTTTTTTCCGAAATTCATTTTTTTTTTTAAACGGCACGGGAAATACCTCTTGCAGTTATCATTTTCTCATCTGAGTAATTCCGAATATTTGTTCGTAGTTTCTTTTCAGAATTCTTATCGGACACTCATATGCAGTCTGAAAGTTCGAAATTTTTCTCATTCATAATTTCGCACTTCAGGGGGAATTGGGAGGCCTACTGAACTTGCAAATGAGTATTTTTTTCTTTTTCTCGAAATTTTTGCGAAGTTCAAACTTTTTTTTTTTATTATTAGTGGCTCCTTATCTGGGCGATTTACCCCACCCACCCCTCCCCACCTATGTTGTTGCCCCCTCTGGTCTTATCTTCTCTATCAGTCTCCGGGTACCCCCTGCCGTGGCATTGGTAAGTTGCCACGTCAGCAGGCCACATCAGCAGACCACGTCAGCAGGCCACGTCAGCAGGACACGTCAGCAGGACACATCAGCAGGACACGTCAGCCAACAGCACTGCCACCTCCGCAGCAGGGAGTACCGCGTCAGCAGGCCCCCGGCCTGGCCACGTCAGCAGGACACGTCAGCCGACAGCACTGCCACCTCAACAGCAGGGAGTACCACGTCAGCAGGCCCCCGGCCTGGTCTATGGTCACGCACTCGCAAACAGCCGTCATGGACCAGAAGTCCGGGGAAACGGATGAGGCCTATCAGGCCCGGATGCTGCTTCTGATTACCAAAGCCAAGCAACGGTCGGATGCAGTAGCAGCCGCAGCAAAGAAGAAGGCAAAGGACGCCGAGAAGGCACGTCTGTTGGCAATTGAACAGCAGCGCCAGCAAGACGAAGCAGCAGCAAAGGCTGCCGATGAAGAATGAATTCAACGATGCGAGAAGATAATCAGCGGAGAGCGAGCTTTGCTCACAATGGCAGCGGACTGGCGGGCCGAGGCCGAGACTGGTAAGATGGAAGAGAGTGAAAACAAGATCGTTCTACTCCTCTCCCATCTCACGGACCTCCTGGCAACATGCATTACACAGCAGGAGGACATCCACAGCCTCGACGACGCGTTGTCTCAAGTCCACAGCCGCCTCCACCAGCTGGGGCAGCGCCCCGTAGCCGCCCCCAATGCCAGCTCTTCCAACACCTCCGATCGCCTCGAGGCTTTGGAGATTGACGTCGGATCCCTCAAGGATGGCGTGCAGTTACAGCAAACCGCAACACAACAGTTGGAGCAGGAAATCTGTACTGCCGCCACCCACTCGAGCTCGAAACCGCACGAGACGACTCCAAGGTTCGATGATCAGGAGATCTTCTGCGGCTCGACGAAGACGGACCCGATTCCATGGTTCCGCAAGTTCGAACTCAAGTTGCAGCTCCACCACATCAGCGAACACAAGCACCACGCGTACTTATACTCCCGGTCGGGGGGCGCGTGCCAAGCATAGTTGGACAATCTCTTGTCCAAGTACGGAGTGGTGGCTGCTGACTTGCACACCAAGATCAGTTGGGATGATCTAAAGGCGGCGTGGCATAAGCAGTTCCAAGTAGAGCCGTCAGAGATCAAGGCAATGGACAAGCTGATGACCTTCGAACAAGGCACGCTGTCGAGTGTTGATTGGATTGTCGAGCATCAACGCTTGACATCCGTCCCAAACATTCAAATGGGCTTCAAGGCCATCAAACACTACTTCATCTTGAGGTCGTGTCCGGCGTTGGGCAATGCCTTGACTCACGTCGAGGACACCCTGACGACACCGGCGGAGCTCTTCGATAAGGCCACGCAGATTATTGTCACGAACAAGGAGGCTGCGAACCTCCGCCGTTCGTCTGCGACAGGCCCGAGAAGAGATCAGCATCGGCCAAAAGTGGTCGTGGTTACGGCGGCAACGCCAAAACGACCAAACTAGCGAGGTCGTGTCTGCCAATGAAGGGGACAGACTCGCAGCCGCCCCGGCAAAGGCCGAGGACGCAGCAAGGCGAAGACAAACATCGCATCTAGCCCCGGGCCCGGTGCAACAACTCCAGCCCCATGGTCCCACTACAGTCTCTCCGACCAAGCATACAAGGCACGCACGAGATTCCACTATTGTCTGTGGTGCAACAGCGATCTCCACGAGACAATGGGCTGCCCGTCGAAAGGCAAGGGCAAATCGGGAAACTGAGCACCGTCGGGACTGACTCGACGACACTCTCGACGCCTTCGGAACCGGTCGGTTCGCGGGTGACCGCCCTTCTTTCTGAGGCACATGCGGAAGTCGATAGTCCTCCTCTTCTATTTTCTTATGAGGACTATGCTGCCCGGCTCGTTCCTACGCTGGGTACTTATGCTCAAGGACAAGACGTGTGTGCGGCATCGTCTCCGTCCGACAACGGCAACTTATCGTCTTCAAGTGGTTCTTCACGGGATTCGGCGCGCGAGTTCAACATAGAGGTATTGGACCAGCTCACGTCTGAGGATTTCGCATGGCTTTCTCTCCCGACCACGGGCCGCTTGCCGGAACCGCAATGCGCAACATTATGCGCTCATCTTCACACGTACTTATCCTTCTATGCACCACCAACTTCGCCGATGGATGACGAATTCGCGGTGGGGGACATCCTTGCGTATGTTACCAAGGTGGCCCGCGAGTTTCGCAAGCAGCGGTACGACGACAACAACGCACCGCTCCTCTATGTTCGCATCCAAGTTGGGCAAGCGTCCTGCCGCTTCGCTGGATAGCGGCGAGTCTCACAATTTTATGAGTCAGGCCTTTATGCAAAAGGCTGGCCTTGGCGCACAAGTTCGAAGGAAGGCAAATCCGACGGCGATCAAGTTGGCGGACGGAAGGACGCAGCAACTTATCGACCGCTACATTGAGGCCGTACCGGTGTATTTCGCACCTCATGCATGTGAACCGGTGACGTTCGACATTTTGGACAGAGACTCCGGCATTATTTTGGGAATGCCTTGGCTTGCAAGTGCAGATCACACGACCAACTTCCACCGGCGAACTCTTACCGTTCGTGACGCCTTCGGTGCCGAAGTGCCATGTACTATTCCTCTTCCGCACCCTTCGATTCGGTGCCAAGTGGTAACGGCCAAGTCGTTCTGGGCTACTTGCGCTTACGAGCAGCCCAATGAGATAGGCCTATGCTTCCTACGGACCGTCGCGGTAGTCGATTCTTCACCCACGGACTTGTCTTCGAACCCCCGTGTGGCGCGGTTGCTTGACGAGTTTACCGACATCTTCCAGTCACCTACTGGCGTGGTGTCGGATCGGCCAATCTCTCACGATATCATTCTTGAGGCCGGTGCCGTGCCGCCGAAAGGTTACATTTATCGCATGAGTGAGGTGGAGCTTACGGTCCTCCGCGCGCAACTCGATGACTTGTTGGACAAGGGCTGGATCCGCCCTAGTAGCTCTCCATACGAAGCGGCAGTTCTCTTCATACGGAAGAAGAACAAGGATCTACAATTGCGCATCGACTACCACAAGCTCAACGAGCAAACCGTCAAGAATGCGGGGCCTCTTCCTCGCATCGACGATCTTCTTGAGCGACTGGGCGGCGCGAAGTATTTTTCTAAGTTGGATTTGACGTCGGGATATCATCAAATCTCGATCCGACCGAACGATCGTTACAAATCCGCGTTCAAAACGCGTTATGGGCATCTTGAGTGGGTGGTCATGCCTTTCGGCCTCACCAACGCCCCGGCGACCTTTCAAACGGTAATGACCAACGAGTTTCGTGCGATGTTGGATCGGTTCGTGCTGGTCTACTTAGACGACATTCTCGTCTATAGCCGGTCATTGGATGATCATACAAAGCCAACCACGCCAAGTACAAAGCCAACCGTGACAAGTGCGAATTTGTCCGAGCTGGAATACTTGGGCCATTTTGTCACACCGGAGGGCATGAGTCCGCTGTCGGACAAGATTCAAGCCATCCAAAAGTGGCCGGGGCCGCGGAACGTCACGGATGTCCGTTCGTTCCTTGGCCTTGCCGGCTACTACCAACGTTTTATCAAGGGATACTCAAAGATCGCGGCCCACTTGACCAAGCTTCAATGCGAGGATCGGTCGTTTGACTTCGGAGAGGAGGCGCGGGAAACATTTTTGGCTCTCAAAGCCGCGCTATTATCTGCGGAGGTCTTGCGCATATACGACCCGCTATTGCCAACGTGCGTCACTACGGATGTGTCCGGCTATGGCATTGGTGCCATCCTCGAGCAACACGATGGCGTGGACTGGCACCCGGTCGAGTACTTCAGCAAGAAAGTGCCCGTCGTGCACTACATTGATGATGCACGCAAGAAGGAGCTCCTCGCCTTCGTCTACGCGCTCAAGCGGTGGCGGCACTTCCTCCTTGGTTGAAGTCAATTCCGATGCGTAACGGACAACAATCCGTTGGTCTTTTACAAGACCCAAAACAGCGTCAACAGCACCATCGCCCGATGGATGGCTTTCATCGACTCGTTCGACTTCTTTCCCGATCACATTCCGGGGAAGTCGAACCGTTTTGCGGATGCTCTTTCACGGCGTCCGGATCATTGTACCGTGGTCTATTCAACCTTCGAGATCGACGACGACCTACGGGACAACTTTATCCGCGGCTACCAAGCCGACCCCGAGTTTCACTACAAGTACGCGAATTGCTCCTCTCCTAATCCGGCGCCTTCTCACTACCGGATCCAAGAGGGGTACTTGCTTGTCCACATGTGGGGGAAGGACCTTCTTTGCGTACCGAGTGACTCTCACTTGCGTACACCGCTTCTTAGCGAGTTCCACGACGCTCCCGCCACCGGACACTTTGGCGTCAATCGCACGATTGGCCGACTTCGCGAGCGATTTTGGTGGCCCGGCCTTCTCGGCGACGTCACACGCTATTGCGATCCATACGAGGTTTGCCGACGCTGCAAATCCCGCAACCATCGTCCGTACGGCGAGTTGCGTCCATTACCGGGCCCCTTGCGCCGAAGGGGAAGCGATTACCATGCCGGGCCGTTCCACAAGCACAAGACCGGTGTGGATGGGATTCTTACGGTGGTCGACCGACTCACCAAGTTCGCCATGTTTTTGCCTTGCCGCTATCATGCAAGGCACCGGAATTGGCCGAGGTTCTCTACGCCGGTTGGATTCGAACCAAGGGTTACCCCAAGTAAATCGTCTGCAACCGCGACACTCGGTTGATGTTTGACTTTTGATTGGCACTCGTCAAATGATGGGGCTCATCTCTCAAGCCAAGTTGGGCTCGCCTACTTGGTACACTTTGCGTACTGCACCCCGAACGCAAGATGCAAGGCAAGCCGGTATCTTCGGCTCCACGTCGCACCCGCGTCCAGGTTCCACCTTCAGATCGTCAGCTTCGCCCTCGACCCGGCTTGACTTCATAAGGAGGGGGGGGTGTTACATGCTGGGCCTGCAACAGGCTGCACGGGCCATTTTCAGGCCCGTGTTGTTTGCAGCCTGAAAGCCTGAAAACAAGGGCCTACAGGCCCCGTGTTGTTTTCAGCCTGAAAGCCTGAAAACAAGGGCCTACAGGCCCTGTGTCGTTTCAGCCTAAATCAGGGCCTTTCCGGCCCTGAGCCTTTTCAGCCTGAAACTGAGGGCCATTTTCAGGCCCTCATAAGAWCGACCTGCCCTGAAACTCAGGCACCAGACCAGGGTTTTAGCACAGGCCATTTCGGGCCTGTTTTCAAGACAACCCCTGGTTGAGCTTCAACGCCAGGGTCTGGCACGTTTCGGCATTGGCAAGAGCAGCCTCCTGGACAGGCCAGGACTATATAGGACTGGCCCGCCCTGCAGGCCGGCAAGTAGTTCCTATGTACTTCCCAGGCACTTCAAGTGCAGTTCAGGAGGCAGGAGGTAGTCTTCAGGATTCGGCAGCAGCACTCGGGGGGAGTGCTGCAGGAGTAGTTATAGCGCTAGCAGTAGTCTTCAGCGCTCGGCGCTAGTAGCGTTAGTGGTAGTCTTCAGCGCTGGGCACCATAGGAGCTAGAGCAGTACGAGAGAGAGAGAGAGATTGGGCAGAGGCCAGGGAGACTTGACTGCAGTGCCATAGCTCCAGCTCCGTCTTCGAGGTACCTGCAGCACAGCGCCAACTTCAAAGGTTAGTACCTG